TTTGAGCCGAGATATGGCAATTTGTAATTTTCGAGAGACGCAGAGAAATGAGAGTCTCTGCGTCTCTCACCCAAATGTTCAAATGGCCATAACTTGGCTCAAGATTGTCCTAGAGATTTGGTTTCTGGAGGGATTTATAGGAAATCTTGTCTTTTTTCATGGAAATAAAATTTCAGAAAAATTACAAAATCCAAAAATCCAAAAAAAGTTGAAAAATACGAAAAATTGATGAAAAATAGATAAAAATGAGCCGAAAATCATGAAAATTCGATTGAGAACTGTTTTAAATTTTAGGGAGAAAATAAGGAAAATGGATCATTTGGAAACAATCGAATTTTGAAAATATCGGACAATTTGAAAAGAAATGAATAGAAAATAGAGAACAAGATATGCAATTTTCTAGAAAATGAAAAATTCAAAGACATCGAAACAAGGTTTTGAATACCTTGAAAAGTACGAAAAATTATGGAAAAAATGGCATAAATTCAACAGAAATATTTTATTCACATTCAATTGAAAAAATCACAAATTTAAAATTTAAAAAAATTATTAGCAAATTATTGAAGTAATCACAAAATTTGAAAATTGAAAGACAGTTTTTGACACATTAATAAAATTGATATATTTCAGAGGAAGATTTGAGGTATTTTTTGTTAAATATGGAAAAGTCCCTGCGAATTCGTTTTTTTACCTGAGATTTTGAAGTTTTTGAGACGTTTTTTTTTGGAATTTTCGAAAATATAAATGAAAATTTAAGTTTGAACTTTTGGTGAATTTAAGAAAGAAAATAGAAACAGAGAAATATATCAGTTCGTACAAAAAATAGACTAAAATTCTAAAATTCTAAAATTCTAAAATTCTAAAATTCTAAAATTCTAAATTCTAAAATTCTGAAATTCTAAAATTCTAAAATTCTAAAATTCTAAAATTCTAAAATTCTAAAATTCTAAAATTCTAAAATTCTAAAATTCTAAAATTCTAAATTCTAAAATTCTGAAATTCTAAAATTCTAAAATTCTGAAATTCTGAAATTCTAAAATTCTAAAATTCTAAAATTCTGAAATTCTAAATTCTAAAATTCTGAAATTCTAAAATTCTAAAATTCTAAAATTCTAAAATTCTAAAATTCTAAATTCTAAAATTCTGAAATTCTAAAATTCTAAAATTCTAAAATTCTGAAATTCTAAAATTCTAAAATTCTAAAATTCTAAAATTCTAAAATTCTAAATTCTAAAATTCTGAAATTCTAAAATTCTGAAATTCTAAAATTCTAAAATTTTAAAATTCTGAAATTCTAAAATTCTAAAATTCTAAAATTCTAAAATTCTAAATTCTAAAATTCTGAAATTCTAAATTCTAAAATTCTGAAATTCTAAAATTCTAAAATTCTAAAATTCTAAAA